ACCTCGTCGAGTCATCCCACAGTCCGCCCCCCAAAAAGTCCCATTCGTTCCTTTCCGAGATTCGTACGAAGGAGCATCATATACCAAGCCCAAGTCGTCAGCCGGCGGTCATCTTGTCTCTTCAATCCGCCATGCCTATGCGTGCTACAAAAGACAGGCTTCTAGGCTCTGTGACAAGTACTCGCCTGCTCCAACACTTCAGAGCGTGAGGCTGGGTCATTCCGCCTTCACAGATGCTACCAGGAAATCCCTGCTTGCTAATGGCTGTCGATTCTGAGGGGTTATTTACCAAGTACTCATAACACCCTAACTGAGGCCGACGCTCCTTGCCGTCATCGGCCTATGGCGCTCAGAATAACGGGAGGACGAAGAGCTAATGCACAGAGTGCGGGTGGGGCTTCTGGAGGACTTTTGCAGCCATGGCTTCATGCCGCCTCCATCGACCTCGACAACGACGTTGTCCTGTGCCGCGGTGGCCAGCATATTTGTCTATGTGCACCAAACCAACCGCGGTGCCTCGGTACCGACAAGCGCACACACAGTTTTTGCGAATTTTACGGCTCCTTCGCGAAGCTTTCCGAGCCGTCCTTGGTCGTGATCTGTGCCACATAACCTCGGTCAACATCTCTCGCCCACCCTTTCCGGCAAGCTGATGGCTAGGAGCGAGAGGCAAACCCCGAGCCTGATTAATTCATCTATTCATCTAGAATAACATTCGTCATACCCGACCGTTGCATACACATTGCCGTGGAAGACAACGAGGAAACAGTGGCGGCTCGTTGACTGCACCCAGAGGGTGATGGCACCACCAAATTAGGTTGCCCAGTGTGCCACGAGGTATTTAGGCAAAATGCAAAATGGCATCGCGCGTGGCGCCATGCCACAACGGTCGTCGGTCCGAAACTCCAAGATTTGGAAAGATCTGACGGCGTACCGCGAACGCGGTTCTCATTCGTGGGTTTCCCGCGCTCGTTACTCCACGAACCAATCGACAACCCCTGTTCTACCCCAACTCATCCACATCTTCAAATTGCTCCAAATCCCAACTTCATCAGTCAGTCAAACCCCCGGGCTGATGGATCCAGGGACAGCAGCGAGCGGTAGATGCCAACCCCGGAGTGGCTCAGATCCTGCCACGCAAGTCATCAACGTTTATGATCAGAGTGCTCATCACCATCAACCAGATCTCTTTGCGTTCCAAAGGCTATGAAGCCACTGAGGAAGCCTTCCCGAGAGGCTCCTCCCATAACAGTGTGCACCAGGTCTCTAGGTCGTCGTTCATCCAAGCTCGTCGTCAATCTCCGACACCTGGCCAAAGGCGCTTGGATGTGACGACATTGCAGTAGGTCTCGACTCTGTCAACACCTTCTCTTAGTCTAGAGCGTTGCCGGCCGTGTCTAAATAATGGCCGATGCTACATCTCCTTTTCGTTTCGTACCTACGTTGCTTCGGCGGGACAAGTCCCGTTCCGTCCGCCCATCAGCTCCACGTGGCGGACAAGAGTCCTCTCCCAGGCAGTTTGGCTATCCAGAACCCAGCTAGTAGCGAGGGTTCAGGCGAGCATCCGATACCACCGTTCATTGGTCATTGTGGCCTCGCCGAATAATCTCAGTCTGCCCGCGTCAATTCTCAGACCAAATCAGTGCAAGGGCGAGCTGCTTCAGGTCGGCCCGTCGAGACTCGAAGCCTTCAGTTGATCAATACGAGACGGCGCGCTGAAGCCCCTCCTATCCTGGTTCTTAGCTTCTTCTGCCGTCTTGGCTTGACCATCGTCGTCGCATCAATCCTCTGAACCAACAAGACACGAAAAGAGGACGAGCAGCCTATTGGACGACACGCTTCTCAGCCGCCGTGACATTGGTCTTGGAGTGGTCCATTGGGCTCCCGACAAGGCTTGACGGCCAGGTCTCCCCGTGTTGAGCTGCGGTCAAGTGACGGCGGATGTCGAGGTGGATCTCCGAGTTCCCAGTCCGGGGTTGCAGTCTAGAGGATGCACTGCGTCTGGCTCTGCTTTTCGCGGTGAAGTTGCAGTGTTATTACCGGCTGGTCTTGACCCTTCAACCAACACATGGTCGAGTTGGGGGCTTCGGCAGGTGGACCGTCGTTCCACCAGACAAGCTAAATCCGTAGTGTTGTCCAACAGTGTCCTCACTCGCTAGACGTCTGTCTTCCAAGCCGGACTACGGCCGAGAGGCTGCTGGTCTCGTGGGGATTAATTTCAATCATGTCTGTTGAAATATTCTTTCACAATGAGCATCAAAATCAAATGACGGATGTGCTTGGACTCTTTCGCCGTGGGGGCAGGTCCCCCCCGTCAACGGCGCAGGTCTACCTCCATCCGACCTTCCGGGCCCGGCAAGATGCTCTCCTTCTTAGTGGATCGTCGGGGAGTTTTCCTAGCCGCCGATGCATGTCGGATGGGATGCAGCAAGCTTACAGCTGAGGAGGGAGGATGCCCCTCTCGTGACCCGCTAAGACGCTGATCTTGGAGGGTCTGCCGCCACGTCGTTACTTCTCTGGTCAAGGATCAGGAAACACAAGTCCCATGAATATCGTCATGCTAGGGAGGCCGACTATTTGACAAACATCTCATTCGTTAGATTGAAATGAGCAATGCCGCTCTTCGTCAATGGAGTTACTCTTTTCGGAGGACAGAGCCCATAAGACAGTTGCAAATGAACGAAGGCTTTCAGTTGAGCCGACTATTCGACACGATGGCCTCCTTTTGTTTCGCAACTGTAGCAAGTCGAGGACTAAAGGGGAGTGGCCTAAAATAAAATAAGTCACGTGCCCTAGAAGAAGAGACAGCATCCATACAGTCGTCAGAAAACATGCAGTGGACGCAAAGTGGACGCGTCCTGATACGTTCGATGTTGTCTTAGACGCTGCGAACTGCATTGGAATTGAGTGTCAGCTCGGAACATAGGAGAAAAAATTAGGTTGACATTCAAGTACCGGCTAAAGCTTGTCTCCATGCCCTACTGGAGCTGTCATGATGCATGCCAGGTCTATTTGGACGACGAACCTTCGCTCACTTGCACTTCGAAGTGGTATCGAATTTCGAGTGTCTATTAAAAGCTTCACTTACGGACTAAAGCTAGCAAGCGAAGCCACCCACCGTCAAGTCACATAATGACGCCAACACCACTGACTGATCGTCTACGTACGATGACAAGTTGTTCAACTCCAGTCACACCTTGTGAGTGAAGCGGGCTGGCACAACCCCAAGGTCGACTTCACGGTCGAATGTAGGCTTCACGGCTGCGGCCTCCGTCTTGGCCCAGGGACCTGCATCTGTTTGCCCACGGCTTGCATATAGTATGGAGGGATCACCTGCGTGAGACAGGCTGTGGACGTGGAAAGTGAAGGCATTGTTTTGTAAAGGTGTGGGTCGATCTTTCGGTCAATTCGGAACATAACCAGCGGCAGGAGCAAATATACACACACATGTGCATAGATGGTATGCTACCCTGCCCGCATCTACAAGGCCATCAATCAACCCGTCTGGCGGGGGGATGCGACAGGCTCTAAGCATTGGCTTGTCCGAATTTGCATCCCCATCAACGCGGTATAGGTGCAGGAATGACAGCCCACGGCACGAGGGCTTTCCATATCACCAAAGTCCACACACCACCGTTTCCACGGCACGTCGAGCCGCGCTCCCCTACCAGAACGTTGAAAACACACACACACACTTGCGGCCTTAAACATCTGACGCTGTCCTGTTTAAGATCATCCTCCGTCTCGTGTTCCAATTTGACAGGCCATCCTGCGGCATTTGCAGCGGACTGCCGATGTCTAGGGCTGCGGTTTTGCGGGGAAGTTAGCTGGACAGCCCAGACGTGCGACTTAGCTGTGCTCTCACTTTGCAGCAGGAGATTTGGGATGCTTCTCGGAGCTCGTGTGCAACTTGAATGGCAAGAGCTTGAGATCTAACACCATGGTGTAAATGGTTCAGTGTCTAGATCTACGTCCTCCATGACCAGCACGCATGGACAACTTTCTATCAGTGCCAAAACATAACTACTCTAGCCTTTGTCGCTTGCCTCCCGCTTCTCAAACACCGCCAGTCCATCCATAGGCCCGAATTGGCTCGGTCCTTTCAATATCAACATACCATTCGCCCCCCACGGCAATGAGGGAGATTCCTTCCGAGGATCCTCCCAGCGTCCCAACGTCGCTACCAAGGCACCCGATATTGATTTCATCAAGAAGCTGAAACTTTGACGTCGATCACGTTCATCTGAAAAAGCGGCATCCCCTCCTGACCTGAATCTGTCTGGCTAGGCTCCTCCCAAAGACGTGTAAAGTCTGGGTCAATGACACACCCCGCTGTAGGCACCCTGCCGACAGCAGCCCGCCTCCACGGGCGAAACGCGCCGTCTAGTTTCCAGGGGGAGTAGGAGCTGTCAGCGCGGGTTCTTCCGTGCTGATATTGGAGCGCTGATACACCCCTTTCGACGACTTCGGGGCGTGTGCTGTGCTGTTTCGCCCGTCTTGGGAGGAGTGATGCGCCTGGAGATGGATGATCGTCGTTGGCCGGGGAGGAATAGTCTCAATCGAGAAGGATCGGCTAGCTCGACGTTTGTTTTGGGAGTTCGAAAGCTCGGTGTAGGTAACGTAATGACCTGAGAGAGGGATTGAGTATCTGCTGCATGCTGCGGACGGATCTGGCTTGCAAAAGGGGGATCTGGTGGCAGATTTTCACATCACGATAGGGCACGATAGAGCACAACAGAGACGACAGCCGTTCCTTCCAGGGGCCTTTCGGTAGAAGAGACGCATGGCCCTACTATTTCAACTTGGCGCATGTTGAACTACGAAGTTTAGGCTTGTTGGGGCTTTCTGGAGCACCAAGAGACGAGCGAATATTTCTGAGAATTTCTTGTAATAATAGGACTGTAAATCTAGTCTATATCTTTCTACGGATGCTTCCGTCTTTTCTAGCATATATCGAAATAAAGAAAACATGTCCTAGCACGCATTGTAGATAGCAACTCCTATTTAGCTGTTCCCTGAAGAACCTTTGACGCAACCTGCTGGCACAACTCCGTGATACTCTGGTTCTTCAAGATCTCAAACACAGGCACCTCAACATTCAGCCGCTTCATGAACCAGTATCTCACCTCGACCGCAATCAGCGAGTCCACGCCAACAACATACGCAGGCTTCCCAACATCAAGTGTCTCGGCCGGGACAGATAAGCTCTTTCCCAGCTTCTGCACCAGGCCCTGTGTGACAACCTCGCCGGCCGCAGTCAAGTCCGCCGCCGTCTTGACAAGACCAAGATAATCAACTTCGTCACCCTTATCGTCCCCAGCTGCCCCGCGCCCGCCAGCCGAGTCACTATCATCTGTCTCGCCCATGCGCAAGAGATTGTTGAAAATCGGCTTCTGCATCCAGTCCAACAGCCCCAACCCCGTCATCCGCGCCAGCTCCGCGGGGCTATCGACCATGTTCACAACCTGCGCCGCCCCGGGCCGCGAGCAATCATACGCGGGATCGCACAGCATCTCCAGCAGAGCAATGAGCTGCGCCTGCGTCAGGCCGCCGTGGCCGGCCCGCAGGCTCTGCGTGACGGACTCGTAATTGACGTTGGCCCACCCGGCCTCGGCGACCAACATCAGGTCGACGGCCACGCCCTTGAGGCCGCGCACGACCCGGTGCCGCGCGAGGGCGTCCTCGAAGGCGTTGCCGGCGGCGTAGTTGCTCTGGCCCCGGTTGCCCATGATCCCGCAGAAGGAGGACAGCATGATGAAGAAGTCCAGGTCTGGGGGGAGCAGCTCGTGCAGGTTCTGGGAGCCGAGATATTTCGGGTCGAGGGCGGCGTGGAAGGTGGCGGCGGACATGTTGGCGAGCATGTCGTCGCGCAGGAGCATCGCTGCTTGGATGCAGCCTCTGACTGGGGGGAGGGTCTCTCTGGCCTGGCGAAGCGTCTCGGCGAGGAGGGTGCGGTTGGTTATGTCGCATGCTGGCGCGAGGATTTTGACCTCGTGGGTGCTTTTGAGCTCGTCGATGAATTTCATCGCGTCCGCTCGCCCCTGGGCTCCGCGAGATGATAGCAGCAGCAGATTTTTCGCTCCTCGGCTGACCATCCACCTCACAATTTCCTGACCCAATCCACCTAGCCCACCGCTGACAATGTACGTCGCATCGTCCCTAAACTCCAGTCCAGGTTGCGGCGAAGGTCGGTAGATGACTTCATCTGATGCATCGAAATCAATCACAACCTTACCAGTGTTCTTGCCCCCCTGAAGAAACCTCATCGCATCCTCAAGTTTCGACGGGGAGAATACATGCAGCGGCTTAGGCTTAGCCAGCCCTGGATGCTCCTCAAAGAGACGCACGACATCTTGCAAGATCCTCTTCATCAGCGGCTTCGCCTCCTCGTGGACAACCACAAGGTCCACCGCGGAGAATGTGACGTTCTTGTTGAACGGACCCATGGGGAGCGTGTTGTTCGCGATGATGTCCGCCTTGCCGATGTCAATGAACCGTCCAAAGGGCGCGATGCATTCCCACGACTGTCTGAGAAGCTCGCCGCCAAGCGAGTTGAGGACAACATCCACGCCGCGATTCTTTGTAGCGTGAAGAACGTCCTCGGCAAAGGTGTCGTCGCGACTGTTGAAGATGTGGCCATCGTCCAACCCAAACAGATCCTTCACAAGCTGCCGCTTGGCCTCGTTTCCTACCGTCGCGAACACCTCGGCGCCCCTCAGCAACGCGAGCTGCACGGCAGCTTGTCCCACGCCACCCGCGGCGGAGTGAATCAGTACTGTCTCCCCCTTCTGTAGCCTTGCGATGTGGTCCAGCGAGTACACCGCCGTCGACCAGACAGCCGGGATCGCCGCCGCGACGTGGAAGCTCATCTCCTGCGGGATCTTCTCCGTCTGATGCTCTGGACAGCGCACGAACGTGCCGAAGCCACCGCCCTTGGACGAACAGAAGAGGACAGCATCGCCGGGACGGAGGGAACTGTTTTGGGCGGTGCGGGAAATTATACCTGCGCCGTCGAACCCGAAGGAGCGCCCCGGGATCTGGCCGAGGGCGATCATAACGTCTTTGAAGTTGAGAGAGGTTGCTTTGATCTCGATCTCGACTTCGCCGTCGGCTAGATCGCCAGAATCTTGGGAAGACTCGGCGTAGAATAGTGTGTCAAGGAGACCGGGGGTTTCGATACTTGCCGAAATGTGAGGTTTGGCTGGGGTAGGGGTGGTGGTGCTGTAAGTCTTGGGTTCTGGCATCTTGTGGCGCTGGGAGAGGGTTTGCTCCAGGTATGAGGTTGGGGTGAGGCGTGGGATGCAGAGAATACCGTCTGCTGTTTCTGAGAACTCGGATTCGTTGTCAAGACCTGGACGGTGATGCTTGAGGACGCGGGTGATGTGGTCGACGATAGTCGGAATGGAGATGGCTGTGGGAGTCGTGGACAAGGATAGGGTCGTGAAGTTTTGGTCGCCTCTTTCGGAGCAGACGCTTCGTCCGAAGCCTGTAGTTATGTCTGACGCGGGAACTGATGCGTTGGGGCTGGCGCCGCGAGTCACCCAGAGGGTTGATTTGGTGTCGAGACAGATCTTCTTGGTGGCGGTGAAGGTAGGCTCGGAAATTTCTTTGAGGATGGAGCCTTCGAGTTCGAGAAAGCTGACAATGATCCTGTCTTGCAGCTGGGTGGTGTTTGAAAGGATGTCGTCCATGTTGATGACTTCTGGTGCGCGAACTTCAAATTCCTTTGTAAGAGTCTCCCGAAGCGTCTCAGCAACAACTCTCTGGATGTCAGATGATGGATCGATAATGATTCCATAACTTGAGCTTCCGCATGGTTGATCAGGCGCAACGTTGACGTAATCTTCGCTTGTGGTTTCGTCTTCAACCTTGGAGGTCATCATGACTGACACACGATGATGCGGCTTTTCTTCATGATCTCTGAACGTCATCTGGACTCCGGGGAACCCAGCTTCACGTAGGACGACATCCCACTGCTTTTCGGTCAACAGAGGGCCTTGATCTTGGTACTCCTCATTCGTAGACCACCACTGCCCGTCTCGCAGCCACCAGCCAGGCAAGAGACCAAAAATGAGGCCGTCGCGGACGTTATCGAGGTTCACCGTCTCTCCGAGGATGAGGACACCGCCAGGGCGTAGGAGGCTTCGAACGTATCGAAGGGTCTGGATCAAATCGCTTGTTGCGTGGAGAACATTACCCGCAACAACAACATCGTAACTTGCCTTGTCGAAGCCTTGAGAGAATGGGTTTTGTTCGAGATCGAGCTTTCGAAACGTCATGTGGTCTGCGGCGTAGGAGAAACGCTCGCGGGCTTTCTCGAAGAAGCCGGCTGACACGTCCGTGTAGACATACTCGCCAAAGCTATTGGCTGTGTGAGTAAAGTTCCAAGAATACTTCGAAATACCATTAAGGTGTATCAAAGGTTGATGACCTACCGAACAGGTTTGGAAGGACCCCATTCTTCCCCATCCACCGATAAGTATGGGAGGATCCGACCAGTCGAGCTCCCCGTGCCAGCACCAACCTCTAACACGCGGATATTTGGCTGCGCGTGAGACAGGATGTTCATATAGGCACCCATCTTGCTATTATTGGTTGAAAAGATGTTTGAGTGATAGAATTCTGTGGTGTGTCGGTCAGCGTACTCAGGGGTCAAGGCTGCTCATTGAGAAGTGCTTACCATCTGCCAGATTGCCCTCGAATATGATTTGCAGGGCGTTCTCTTCCCCTCTCAAGATGCGGTACAGATGCTCACCAACTTTTTTGGTAAGCCTCTGCGTAGGCTCAGAGTCAGCTTCCTCCAGAATATCCTGGATATCCAAGCCGCCGAGTCCTCGAGACTCTAGCGTCCACTTCTCTCTGCTCTGACGAACTCGGCGCATCCATGCCACATAACGCTCCAGATTACCATCATACTTGGTGGCCTGGTCATCTTGATCAATCTCGCTGAGAGCGGCTTCGATGAAATGAAGTGCAATGGCGTCGGCGCGGTCAATTATTCCTTTGTCTGGGGCCTTGCTCCGAGGATCTTGCTCGAAGGCGTTGGTGAGGTACTTGCTCTTTTCAGTTTCAGTCAGAAGCGACAGATCTGGCTTGTAATCAAGACTGTAGAACAACTTATTGGAGTCCTTGTCAGAGCCAATATCCGCGTTCGTCTTTGACAAACTTGAGATAGCGGTGCCGCGCTGACCATCCAAGACGATAACGGGCTCGGAGGTCCCAGCAAGCATGGCTGTCGTTCGACATTCCGCCTCTCTGAAAGCTCTCATGGTCTCATGAGTTGCGACCTTGATTTGAGGGTTGTCCTGGGCACGGAAAAGCTTATGTGAAACCCAAAGCTTTCGAAGGTGAGAGAACATCATAGTGGGAACGGCATTCCACCCACCCTGCGATAGCGCCACCATCTGGAGATGGCATATCGCGTCCAGAGTACTTGGATGCACAACGCATGGATCTTCTCCGGCGAATGGCATCGTCTTTATGTAGTCTCTCAGGGATAGAGTATCAGTAGCATGGCCATCTCTGTCGTACCCGATATTCCTGAGAAACTGGAAGTATGGCCCGTAGTCAAAGCCAGAACGTCTCGACATGTTCTTGTAAAGCTGGCTGTGGTGAACACTCAAACGGCATTGTTCCGCATCTTCTTGCAGTTCGTTGTAGATGGTGCTAGCGAAGCGAGCACGGCGAGCTTCACAGAGAGCCGCCTGCTCAGGCGTCACACCTTGCTCGGGTTCCAACTCAACTTTGGTACTGCCGTAGGCACACTCATCCCAGTGTCGCCGTTCGTGCCAAAGACGCGCCAGTCGTAACAGAGCATCTGACCGCTGGTGTTGGTAGCTTGCCTCCGCCGCCGCAGCACGACCTTCGCCTCGGTTCCTCGTTCTGAGTCGCTGACGTTGATGGCGCGGAGAAAACGCACGTTGTCTAGTTGATACCCAACAATGCGAGACTCCACAGTAGCGGCAAGTTGTCTTGCGGCCTCTATGGCCATAACTAGCATTCCCGCGCCGGGATAAAGGGGAGACCCATTCAACGCGTGGTCCAAGATCCATGGATTCTCTTCTGATCGTATGAAATGTCTCCAGCTTGGTTCCTCGGGATTCCAATCTCTATCTCGAACGCCAAGAAGAGCATGGCGGCGGTAAGGTCGATTTGCATAGTTGCGGCTTAGTCGGCTTTCCTGCCAAAGTTCTCGTGAGCGGTTGAACGGATATCCAGGGAGGTCGACCATCAGCTGTGGTTTACGACTGGGCTGGATTGAATCCTCGTTCAATTTACTCAAGTTAAACGGGATGCCTTCTGTCCACATGGATCCGATGGCTTCCAACAGGGACTTGACATCGTTTCCATCCTTCTTCAGAATGCAGGAATATCGCCATTTATCTGAGGAGGTCTTCCCAATGACGCAATCCAGTGTGTCTTGAACTGGGCGCCGCAGAGCGGACTGTGGCCCGATCTCCACCAAGAACTGACGTGCGCCTTGCTTGGCTTCGCTCATAGATGATATAGCATTGGAAAAGAGAACAGGCGACACCAAGTTGCGTACCCAGTATGCCGGTTCAATCACCGTGAGATGCGGCACGAGCTCTCCTGTCGTGGATGAGTACAGTGCAATCGAAGACAGCTTTTGAGAGGCCTTGTTGACATCTTGTGGCGGAGCATGAATATCCTGAGTCTTTTGTTGGTACTCCGCGGCGACTGCCTCCATCGTTTTCGAATGGTATCCGACTTCAACCGAGAGCTTTCTGGCAAAGATTTCTTCTCCATCCAGCTTGCTCAAAAGCTGCTCGATAGCATCGACTGGCCCCGATATAGTTACATTGACAGGGCTATTGACGCAGGCAATTGAAAGCCCATCTTGAAGGTAAGTGTGAACATCTTCTTGGCTTAGGCCAACGGACATCATAGTTGTCTTGGCCCTCGATGCGTCAGATACCAGCCTTTCGGCTAAGACTCCTCGGAAGTAGGCAATCTTCCACGCAGAAAGACGATCAATGGCACCAGCACAATATGCTGCCGCAATCTCGCCCGATGAATGTCCGCACACGGACTGAGGGACGACGTCCCATGATCGAAGAAGATCAACTATGGCAACTTGGAGAGCTGTGCAAAGTGGCTGTGAAAGCGCCGGCTTGTGAATCGTTGAGGAATCTGCTGGCCGTTGCATTTCTCCCAGAACCGACCACTCGCATCCGAGGGATCGTAAGTATTCGTTGCAGTCAAGCAGACTTTGACGGAATACTTCATATCGCAGAAGGCCAAGACCCATGCGCGAGTATTGGGCACCTTGCCCTGTGAACACAAAGCCCAACTCAGGAGTTTTGGAAGGCAGAGCGAAGACAACCGGCGAAAGTGATTTTCCGAGTGTAGACTTGAGGTCATCTGACGACTCGACGACAGTGAAAGCGCGCCAACTCAAGAGACTGCGACGTGAAAGAGTGTGTGCCAAGTCCACGAGGGCATCTGCTGAGCTGATGGGGTGTTGAGCGAGATGGTTCTCTAGGGTCGAGACTTGTCTGTGTGTTCCATCTTCATCTGCGGCAGAGAATGTCAAGAGACCACAGGAATTGGTAGAAACGCCACCATCTTGGCTATTTCCATTCTGAGCTTTTCCGTCAACCTTACTTTCATTGGGGTCGGTGCCGTTGGTGTGAGCTCCATTTGTTAAGTTACCATTGGCGATCTTCCGAGGCGAGTCCACAGAGCGATGGTGGCCACTTAAGCCATGAGTCCGCAAGTAGTTGTAAGCATCATCAAGAACAGCATGCGCATTCGATCCTCCATACCCAAAGGAGCCGATCGAGGCCCGACGGATCCCCGACTCTGTTACTGGCCAAGGTGTTGGTTCCGTCGGGAAGCGAATACCTAACTCGCCAACATCAATCGCTGGATTTGCCTCTTCGAAATCTGCAATGGGTGGTATCAGACTCTTTTCGAGTGCGAAAACTGCCTTCAGCAACCCTGCCAGCCCGCTCGCGCCTTCAAGATGCCCGATGTTGCTTTTGACAGAGCCGATCCACACGTGGCGATTCCGGTGAGACCGGAAAACCTGACCAATTGCAGAAGCCTCAATGGGGTCTCCAACTGGCGTGCCCGTGCCATGAGCCTCCACGTATTCGGTCTCAGAAAGACTCAAGCCGGCTGTCTCGTACGTATTCTTGATAAGCTCGACCTGAGCAGCAGCGCTGGGCTGGGTGATGCTCGGCGTTCGCCCGTCTTGGTTGACCCCTGTGGCCCGAATTACGGCACGAATGGTATTTCCGTCACGGAGTGCTGCTTCAAGAGGCTTGAGAAGCACAAAAGCGTACCCTTCGCCACGGGCATAGCCGTTGGCCTTGCGATCGAAACTATACGAACGTCCATCAGGTGAAAGGAAACCGGCGTTGCTGAGTGGGAAGCTCATGCATTCAGGGGTGAGGTAGGTGTTCGAGCCACAGACAAGACCCATATCAGACTCTCCAGTCAAGATGCTCTGGCAAGCCAAGTGCAGAGCATATAACCCGCTTGAGCACGCCGTGTCAACTGTCAGAGAGGGCCCACGAAGGTCAAAAAAGTGGCTGATGCGGTTTGACAACATCGATGAGCCCGACGACGTTGCCTGGTATCTGGACTGAAACTCGGGATCACGAGCTACGATGGCGTCGCTGTCCCGACCAAAGGAGGCGCAGAAAACAGAGGTGCGAGACCCGGCTACACGTTCAATGGCTAAGCCGGCTGCGCAATGTTAGCCTCATGGAGCCTGTGACTGGTCGACTTGGACAACATTTCCAAATATGGGTGCGATCCAAGACGGTATTTGATGTGACTTACCATTTTCAAAAGTGTGATATGTCCCCTCGAGAAGTCCGCGTTGTTGGGGATCCAGAATGGACGCCTCCGCGGGAGACATGTTGAAAAAAGCAGCATCGAAAGCTCGAGGATCTTCGTTCATGAAGTGAGCTTTGGGAACGCGCATCTATCACAGCCATCAGCTTGGGGTATTAGAAACAGGCACCGAGCAGACTAACACTGTCCAGACGAGCTGGATCTGGATGGTAGAATGCATCGACATTGAAGCGTGATGTCGGCACTTTCGTTGAAGCATTACGTGCATTCTGTAGCATGTCCCAAAATGCCTCCGGTGACGTAGCATCTCCAGGAAATTTGAGGTTCAAGCCAATGATGGCTAAGGGTTGGGTGTGCTCTGATTTAGGGAAGTCCATGTTGGGGTTCATGTCTAGACTTGAATTCACTCAAAGTCTCCGACAGTTTGGTTCAAAGATCTGCATCTGCTCTGGTGAAGAGACGGACAGTAAAGTATACTTCACTTAGGTACTACTGAATGTAAGTCAAAATTGATGTTGTCTTTTCTGAACTTGAGGGCGCCTAGATCAAGTGCCAACGACGCCACGCCGATATCATATATACATATTCATGACGAGGTGTTAATTTTGACAGCTTCGTCGATCACAAACGCCGACGTCGTCGGCGAACGTAACCGAATAGCCTGCCGGACACAAGTGCCGCGGTCCCATTTCACATCACAGCCGCTTTGCAAGGTTTGACACTTTCTTGGAGCCGTTCACGAAGTTTCGGATTTCGTTATACTGACTGTTATGAGTGGATTGGTGTTCCGCCATCCGCGAACTAATGCAAATCGGACCGAGTCATTACCCTTTTGCGACCGTCCAGAATCGAGTGTTGTCCAGTCAGGTTTGAAACTCGCGCAATAGTGTTTGTGACTAAGCTTCTTGAGTTTGATAATACCCACTTTCCGGGACGTCAGTCTTCAACATCAGACAACGTCTGGATTTAAACTTCAGCTTCCTTCCAAGCTGGTAAGTTCCGCGGCAAAGATACCCAACCTAGTAAGGGGGCTTCCAGAACTATGAGGGTTACATGGATCATAGCTCCTTGTTCACAAGACAGCATCGACAGCAGCGGAGCCTCGGTTTCGTATCAGGCGAAACTTTATACCACATCACGACTTGGATCCGACCTGACTGACTACAACACATCACAAACACCATTGGACTTGTTTCCGACATAACTGCGAGGCAGCTTCTGACAGAATCGGTTCGGTTGCTTGACTTGACAGAATATCATTTTTCCTCATAACGTCGTCATGGGCAAAGCTGAGTTCGGCAACGCAATCTACTTCCCACTGTTTCTCCAGTGGTTTTACGACACCCTCGTCCTTGGGTTCATCTGCCCCCGCGCCTGGGGATGTCCCGAGGATGTTCTTCAGGGACACTACAGCAAACACGTCAGCTCCCTTTCTGGCGTACCCCGTCCCCGCCTGCTTGACATTGGCGTTGGCACAGGCCACTTTATTGAACATGCCCCTCTGGCATCGGGCACAACAGTGATCCTAGCCGATATCAACGAAAACCCCTTCGCCGAGGCTCGAGGACGCATCAAACGCACACACAAAGATGTGGATGTTGATGTGGTCCTAGCAGATGTCTTTGAACTTGGTGACGACAAAACATCATCATCAGTTCGTTTGTCTGATGCAGGAGGGAATGGGGGTTTCGACGTCATTTCCTGCATGTTGCTTCTTCATTGCCTCCCAGGAGAAGGGCGCCGTAAAGGAGAAGCAGTCGCGCGCCTGTGCCGACTGTTGAAACCTGGCGGCGCCGTCGTTGGCGCCACTGTCCTCGGCTCTGGAGTAAAGCACAACACTTTCGGAAGGCTGCTCATGTCTGTTTATAATTTCTCAGGTGTCTTTCATAATGAAGGAGACTGTACGGGTGACATTATTCAGCCTCTTGAAGCGGCTTTTGAGAGAGTGGAATTTCGAGTGGTCGGAACTACATTGCTCTTCGAGGCAAAGTCACCGAGAACTCCCGGTGTAGCTTATAACTTCTAGATCTAATATAAAAAGCACATTTGATATTTATTGCCCCGTATCACTTCAGCTTCTGCACTGCTATCATTCTTGATGTGTTCGTTCGTATAAGTCACAGGATGTGAATCTGAACCTGTCAAACGCTCATCAATACCGTTAGTGCAATTCTGACAAGAATTTTGTTAGTCGGGAAGAAAGTGATTACAGACAACAGACAAGATAATGATATTGCTAATGATAGGGACCATCCTAGAGGAAGATAAAATAATAAAAAGAAATGGGGAGGGGCGAGAGAATTCTTTCGGGAACTGTGATTTCGAGGTTGATAAGAAAAAAAGAAAAAGGACAATGGTCTTGAACATCACTCGATAAATCTCAAATCAACACTTCCTCTAGGAGAGAGAGTGATTTCACTCGCCATGCGCAGTCGTGTGCCGACAAATCTTTCTATCCCTTCAGGCTCTGACCCTTTTCTTGTCCAACCCGACTCATTTGATTGGACTTGACCCGGCGAGACTCCTAACTGCACATTCTTGTATCGTTGGAATACACGTACTAACACATATGCCATCTTGGTCAGAGCTAGCTGTTGTCCAACACAGATCCGAGGACCGCCATTGAACGGAATGTACGTCCACGGTTTCGGGGTCCACGAGTCCCAACGGCAAGGGCAGAACTCATCAATCGGTGCGAAGTCGTACGCATTGAGGTCTTCTCGAAGCTGCAAAACATGGGTGGAATAGATGACCTGAGTGCCAGCGCGAACACCAACTGGGCTATTCCCATCTGGACCTCCGCCATGTGGCAAGCTGGTGTCTTTGACGGCTGCTCTGATGTTGAAAGGTGCATTCGGATACAGTCTCAGAGTTTCGTTGAGAATATGTGTAGCGAAAGACATGCTCTTCAGGTCTTTGTAAGTTGGCTCCCGAGATGAGTCGCCAACGCCAACCGTAAGTTCAATTTCACGCCGAAGGTCAGCTAGGACGTCGGGGTTCCTGGCTAGCTCATAAAAGGCCCAAGACATGGTTGTAGCAGTCGTGTCACGACCCGCTATGAGAATAGCAACCATTTCGTCTCGAAGCCAGCGTTTGTCTCGGGAGACAGAGGCGCATGCATGAAGAAGCGTCCAGCCATGATCTGTCTTATCCATCTCCTCGAGCTCTTCTGCAGTCATAGAAACTGCCTTTTCACTTGTTGGTTTCATAAAATCATTTAGAGTCTCCAGGTCCTGGCGAAACTGGCGTCGAGGGACGAGAAAGTTCAGAGGGCCCAATCGTTCTATCAAGGATTGGATGTGGCGGATACGTTCGAAGGCGTCGAAAAACTCGTCATTTTGGTGACTGGTCAGCGAATTAATCTGTCGTCCCAAGGAAAAGTCCGCCGATACATCAAGTGCAAGTCTACTCAAGATGTCCTTCACATCGACGGTGCGGCCTCCGCCCAACATGGGTGTCATGTCTTGAACATGGCGCTCGAAACAAGCGAGGTCACTGACCCGTTGGCGAGTGAAGAGCGAACGAAGTCGTTGGCGAGACTCATGCCAAGCGCTTCCGTCTACGTTGAATATGCTGTTTCCCATAAGATCGAACCAGTCTTTTCTGAACCTTTCGCCTTTCCCGAAGTCATTGAATTGTGTTGCTAACATGGCTCGAATGTTCTCGGGATCAGAAGTAAACAACGTGCGTGAGCCAAGCATGTTGACCTCGAAAGTGTATGGATTTTTCTTTCCTTTGCCAGACAGACGGAATGTGTTGTGCATGAATTTGAGATTCTGGTCTCTCAAAGCGTGTGATGTGATCGACAAGAGGAAGTGAATTCCAGACAGCCATTCTACTGAGCATTAGACATATGTCGCCAAACACGATATACTCGGGTTCACTGAGATGAGACATATAATTGACTTACCGATAGGCGTATAAGATTGGAACTTTTGGGCATGTCCACCCAATTTTCCAATGATCCTCTCTCCCCGTATGGCAAGAGCAACATGTCTCATTATGATAGCACTCAAAGCGCCAACTATGAGCCACGCTGTATAAGACATGGACATACCATTTGATCAGAATTGTGACGTTGAGTAGAGTTTGCCAGCATTATAAACCAAGGGCGTCGCATCCCACAACGCACTTACTTCAAGTCGGCAGATTTGGAAAGTATGTTCCTTGTTCCGCTTGGCCCCTGCGTATCTGCAACTCGTGCTTGACATCCCGCAACTTTCGGAAACAGAAGTTGACTCGGGTTCCATACCAGAATCAGAGCTATGGGACAAGGGACCAGCTCTAGCTCGCATTATCGACCGGAACAAGCACGATCACAGCTTCAAAAGAGCTTTGCGCTGGGCACGCTGGACCGCACCGAGAGGTAGTCAGGAGCAGTCATTCTCCCCTTCGCTTCTTACCACATCACCAATGTCTTCCACTATTGTCATCGTATTTCTTTGCGCTAGTTATGCTCTATACTCACTGCTGTGCTTGATTCGAAACATTCGAATCGCCAAAAACATTGGCATCCCAGTGGTATGGAGCCCCATCAGCCCATTCAACCCATTTTGGATAATCTTCAATAAACGGCTGTCCCCGATTATCCAGCGTCTGCCCCTCAGCCAGGGAAGCTGGACTCAGCACGATGCGCTAGATTGGACCTGGGTAGACCGCGCTCATGGAGACTCACAAGTCCATGAGAAGCTCGGCGACACCTTCGCTCATGCCACTCCAAGGGAGATCGAAATACACACACGCGATCCTGCTGTCGCCGACGAGGTGTTACGGAAACGTGCCAATGAGTTCCCCAAAATAAGCCACTATGCCAGTAAGCTACACCCAAACTTTCTCAAAGTTTCCTCGAAGAGATGTTTGCTGACAACCATCATCACAGAGGTGCTCGATTTTCTTGGAACGAGTCTTGTCTCGTCAGATGGCGAGGACTGGGTTCGCCATCGCAAAGCCACAGTCTCTACACTGAGCGACAGGAACAATCGACTTGTCTGGACCGAAACCGTCAGGCAGACGCAGCAGATGATCCAGCACTATTTCTCAGCCTCGAGCGGTCGCATCATTGACCCCGTAGAAGACGTTCGAGAGGTGTATCTCCATGTCTTCACGGGGGTTTGCTTTGGTGTCAAGTACGACTTCCGCCAAGCTGCAGAAAAGTACATGCCGCAAGGTCATGCACGCAGTTACAAGGACTGTCTTCACACCAGTCTCAAGGACTTGCTCATTCTCCGGCTGGTGCCAAAATGGATCTTGGATCTGCCCATCTTGCCCCAAAGGATTAGCAACTTTCGTGATTCCGCGCGTGAAATGTGCCAATATCTCGACGAGATGATTGCTTCTAGTAAAGAGGAGCTGAAAGAAAAGGGAACAAGACGAACTCAGACGGATAATCTTCTAAGCTTCATTGTCAAGAGTAATGGTGAGATTGAGACCGAGAACGCAAGTTCTGACGTGAGCCTGAAACGGAATTATCTTAAAGAGTCAGAGATCCGTGGGAATCTCTTCACTTACTCACTTGGTGGGCACGAGTCTTCCGCTCATACCTTGACTTTCGCGCTCTATCTCCTTGCAGCTCTTCCACAAGAGCAAGAGTGGCTGGCAGCAGAGGTCACGTCAGTTCTTGGCCAAAAAAAAAGATTGGCAGTCTGAGGAATCATTCATGGAAGTATTTGCTCGCTTGAAGAGATGCCAAGCTGTCATGGTGAGTGCCACAACAGAGCTTGCATGTTTGATTTGGGCTCACAGGGTGAATCTAGAACGAAACCTTACGGCTCTATCCATCAGTCACTGTGCTGCCGAAGTGCACCGGTTCAGAGTCTACGAAACTTCTCGTCAGCGGGAGCGATCGACATATTCCGCCAAGTATCAATGTCTACGTTAACATGCCCAGTATTGAAATACACAAGCCAGTTTGGGGCCCGGATGCGAAATCATTCAGACCAAGCCGTTGGATCACTTCATCACAATCACTTGCAGGGCTGGAAAACGAGCAGCTCCGGGCCCCCCCTGAGGGCGCATTCCTACCGTGGAGTGACGGCAAGCGTATCTGCCCCGGCAAAAGGTTCTCTCAGGTGGGCTTTGTGGCAGCGCTTGCGGCAATCTTGCTCAAGCATAGGATTGAAGTTATTCCTGATGCTGGGGAAAGCATGGGTGACGCGCGTAAATGAACGCTTAGAGTGGTCAACAACACGTATGCTGTCATGACTGTTCACATGTATGAGCCGTCATCTGTAAGGCTAGAACTTATCAAAAGATAGTAGCCGGGTGTACGGCTATTCATTATTTAGTATCCACGGCTTTGACTTGAACTCTCCTTGTTTCGGGCTCTGTAAAGACGATGGTGACGACAACGACGACACTGGTGACGAGGAAGATATGCTTCCACTCTCACTACAAAGCTCCCGTTTCTGTACAAAAAGCTTTAAGTGGTTAATACGAAGTAGAGATAATTGAATCGGACGAAGGGTCGGTCTACGAGCTTAGTCCCTGGAGTTTCGGATGCACGGTTCAGAATGAATCGCAACGACCTGCCACCGGCCCTCTCGCAACTCTTACTTTTCGGCAATCGCCCACTTCAGTACATACTTAGAGAAACTCTCTTTGACAAGTGGAAAATCGTCTAGTAATGAGAGCCTCTCGGGTAATTCGGCATCCATTGACACCTGGGCAGCTTCCACGCGGAAGCGTGAGCAGACGACTCGCGGCAAAAACAACGGTTGCTGTGTCAGCGTTATATCAGCTCGATAATAGGTTTCGGAATGCCTTCAGCCCTAGAGCTAAAAGAGTGGAAAAGATAAGCATTGACGATTTCGGCCGAAACGTGTATTGGGATAGATGGAGTTGCCTGCCGAAGGGTGTCAACAGGATGAGATATGTCTAGGATACCTTCACGAAGGATCATGGCCGCATGTTTGATCACTTTTGGGCAAAAATTGAAAGTCTTGTCTCAGGGTCTGTTTCTCCGCTGGTGAAAAGTCTCCCTCCAATGCACCTCTGATGATGTTGCATTTATGCGTCCACCAACGCTGGAGTCATTCGGACAGAAACACTTTGCCAGCTTGTTTCTATCAAATGCTGCATACCCATTGCGTTGGGACAAGAAACCCCAGAAGACCCAGAGCAGTTGAAGCCTGAAGAAACACCCCACGCATCAATGAAGCAAGAAGGAAACGAAGCTGTGGTAGAGCATGCGCGCTCCTCAGTTGAGGTCTTCTCTGCCCCTCCTGAGCTCGACAGGCATTCAACAGGAGAAGACTCAGTCGCTGCGGAAGACAAGAAAGAGCCCATTCTCATCACATGGGATGGGCCGAACGACCCCCGCAGCCCCAAGAATTGGCCTTCAAAGAAGAAACGGGCAGCAGTATTCTGTGGTAAGTTGGCTTGAACTCAGGACATGACCGTCCATGTACTCACAAATCACCGTCAACAGTCTCATTCTACACCCTCCTTTCGCCAGTGTCCTCATCCATGGTCGCGCCCGCCCTGGAAGCAATAGCCCACGACCTCACCATCCCTTCCGCCTTTGAACAGATCCTCGTCCTCTCCATCTTCGTCCTCGCCTACGCCCTTGGGCCCCTCATCTGGGGCCCTCTCTCCGAGCTGTACGGCCGCATCATCATCCTCCAGCTCACAACTCTGCTCTACATGGCTTTCAACCTCGGCTGCGGCCTCGCCACCACAAAAACCCAACTCATCGCCTTCCGCTTCCTCGCAGGCTTCGGCGGCTCGGCGCCCATGGCCGTCGGCGGCGCCGTCTTCGCAGACCTCTTCAACGCCGAGGAGCGCGGGCGGGCTATATCGATATATTCGCTCGCGCCCCTCCTGGGCCCGGCCATCGGCCCCATCGCGGGCGGCTTCATCACGCAGGAGACCACCTGGCGCTGGATCTTCTACAGCACCACCATCTTCGCGGGCCTCGTCCAGGGCATCGGCTTGTTCGTGCTCCAGGAGACTTGCGCCCCGGTCCTCCTGGTCCGCACCAAGAACCGTCTCGTCAAGAAGACGGGCAACACCGCCCTGCGCACCGAGTTCGACAACCCGGAACGCACCGTCATTCGCGCCCTCGCTGGTGCTCTCACACGCCCCTTTCGCCTCTTTGGCAAACAGGTCATCATCCAGGCGTTGGCCGTGTACATGATGTACCTATACGGCATCATGTACCTCGTCCTCTCCACCTTCTCGGCCCTCTGGACGACAAGGTATGGAGAGTCGACCGGCATCAGCGGGCTGAACTACATCTCGCTTGGCCTCGGCTTCTTCCTCGGGGCCCAAACATGCGCCAAGTTCCAGGACCGCGTCTACATCGCTCTCAAGAAGCGCTATGTCCCCGACGGCGGGCCTGGGAAGCCAGAGTTTCGCGTGCCGATGATGGTTCCGGGGGCGGTTCTCGTGCCTGTTGGGTTGCTGATATACGGATGGTCTGCGCAGTACAAGGCCCATTGGATCCTACCCAACCTTGGCGCGGTGCTGTTCAGCGCGGGCGTCATTGTAGGGTTCCAGGGCATTCAGGCGTTCTTAGTCGATACGTATACGAGGTACGCCGCGTCTGCCATCGGCTCGGTCATGGTGCTGAGAAGCGTTGCTGGGTTTGGGTATCCGTTATTTGCACCGGCTTTGTACCATAGGCTGGACTATGGGTGGGGGAACACGCTGCTGGCATTGATTGCCGTCGGTATTGGTTTGCCTGGCCCCATTCTATTGTGGGTGTTTGGGGAGCGGCTGAGAAAGAGGAGTCAATTTGCCGCTGGCTGAGGATCCTCTCATCGCAGGTTGGAAGGTCTTATTGTCGTAACTCGAGTATCAATAAGGGTGCACCAACTAAAAGGAGTTGGCTGATTTCCGCAGTCATCAAGCGTGGATCTTGACAGGAGGCAAGCAGCGTATAAGTGGTACAAATATCTTGATTGACTATGATGACAACACAAAAGAGCCGCAAGTTAGCAGAGCAGCTGGCATTCTTGCACTTGCGACTCCAGACAGGGCACACAGTGAGGCGTTATTGAAGTAAGGCCACATGCTCATGCTATTTCATAACAACCAGACCTCTAAGCCAGCTACCTAAAGCCAATTTCCGTGAACGCCATAGACCGTTTGCCCGTCATTTTTGTCGAAGGGGCAGGTGAAGCCAAAATAAATCGATTCCCGATAGAGTGCTTTTGTAAGTGGTATCTCGTTCTTTTTTCAGATAGAGTGTGCCGTTCGTGAGGTTGTTTCCATTCTTCTCACATAACCTATGCGGCGACCTCAGTCTTGGTGTCGACCTTCTTCGCCTCGGGCTGAGCAGCGGCTCCGTCATCTTCACGGGCGCGCTTGCCGTTGCTGTTCTTGTCTTCCGCGACGGGCTCGCCCTTGTCGTTTGTGGCTTGAATGGTAGGCTTGCCGCTGTAATGAAGGTTAGTAAGATAGTCAACGGCCAAGTTTGGGGTGAAGACATACGCGTTGCGGTCGTTGCCGCGCTCATTGGGATCCCTGCGGTTCTCGTTGTCACGCCCGCCCCGGCGATCACCGCCACGGCCTCTGCCACGGCCTCCACGGCCACCGCGACCTCCACGGCCTCCCCTGAAACCGTTCTTCTGGTCGTTGTCGCGGCGCTCCCTCCAGTTGTCCTTGTTGTTGTTGCCGCCACGGCCACCCCTGCGGTTGCCATCCTTGCCATCCTTGCCCTCAAAGAAGCGGCGCGACGTGTTGGGCTCGAGCTTGCCAGCGTGGATGAGGGCGCTCTTCTCCTTGACGTACTCGGTCTTGGGCATGATCTTCAGGTCGTGCTCCTTCCACTTGGGCTTGGGGTCGAGGGCGAGGAACTTCTGAGCGGCCTCCTCATCGGGGAACTCGACGAACACGGAGCCCTTGAAGAGCTTCTCCTGGGTACGGCGGAGACGGACAGAGTTGATGGGGCCGAACTTGGTGAAGAAGGCCTCAAGGTCGAACTGAGTAGAGGGCTCCTCGTCGCCGAAGCCCTTGACGTAGACGCAGCGAGCGTTGAACCTATCGTTACCAGGGGTGTAAGGCTGCTTGCGCTGGATCGTCTCCTCTCCCTCCTCGCCAGCGATCACGAGGGCGGGGCTCTCCTTAAGAGCAGTGACAACGGCGGAGTAAGGCTGGAAGCGGCGCATGCGCTTGAAGGAGGTGATGGTCTTGAGAGGAATGGCCTTGTTTTCGAAGCCACCAGTGAGCTCCCACAGGTACTTGTCATGGGGCAAGTTGCTGTCTGACAGGTAGAACTCGACCTTTTCGTCAAAACGTTAGCTCGTTTGTCAACGACAGGCATCCTTGCAGAGAGCGCCTTACCTGCTTGCGGATCTCCGCCGGGTCATCTGTCTCCTTGAGGAGCGAAGCATCAAACTTGACGTTGTTCGAGTGGTTCTTATCGTCAATCTTTGCAGTCGTCTTGAGGACCTCAGGCTCCTCCTTCTTCTCCTCGGGCTTCGCCTCGGTCTCTTCAGGCTTGGCCTCGGCCTCGGT